ACTCGCCTCAGGTTCTCAGCAGTCATATGAGATGTTTTCGACTCCAATGTTCTAACTATTCTGCTTATTAAATCATACTCTGCTTATTAATTTGCAGCTAACTTCTTTTCGGACAGATTCGACTTTCCTGGGTTAAAAAAGGGCCTAGAATTTCCTGCTAACTTTATTTACGATAACTTACACTCCAGCCACAAGCAGTCTTAATTCTAGTCTTCGTGTGAGAAAAAAAACATAAACCCTGAGTTTTCTAACGACTAAAGTAAACAGTTTCAACTGTATTGCGCACCTCTTTCAGCAAATGCCTTGTGAATGCCTAAAGTAATTGTTCATTACGGCAACTTCCTAACCCAAATTCGACTAAAGAAATTATTCTAACTACCAAGCCAACCTCTCTGTTAAGACCATTAAGACTGCCAACATCCTACTCCCGAAATAGTCTGGCCTGGGGGACAGGAAATAGTTATTTTGACTTAACACCGACATTTTCAGACTTTCCGATCTTCCCACCAGTTAACCTTTTAGTGTAGGTTATTTTTACTTTTTAATGTACACAAATTTAAACTGGCTACGAAGTACTAATTTGAGGAAAAACTTCCCTCGCAGCCATTTTATACATCTCCACTCAGCGTGACTTCGCGCCTAAACTATTTCCCGCCAAAAACACATGCTGCAGTCCAAGATGGCGCTGGAGACGAATCAGTTGAATGCAGGATGACGTTTGTTTCAGCTATTTGATTTTTCCAGTACGATAAAATGGCAAAAGTGATAAGGATTTGAAATTCTGAATAAGTGAAGAAACCATGAACCAGCGTAACGAGGTAATCAAGGTCGATTAGTTTACATTTTTTTTATAAAATTGTGTCTGAGATAAGCTTTAGTGTAAGCTATTTTAACTGTAAACCCTCACTTCCTACCGTTTGTTGCGAGTCAAAATATAATTTAAAAAACCCATAAGCTCACAGTAAAATAGCTATGAGTTATAAATTTCTAACGGTTGTTTAATTTAGGTGATAGCATTTTAAAAAGCCTAGGTGCGCATATTGCCACATTATTGCTACACCGAGCTGGCACACGACTGTAAACAATGGTCTCCAAAGCTAGGAAATCAAGACTAAATTGACGGAAGAACTATCTTTAAGAATCGATGATCCGTCACTTTGATTTGGCAATGTTTTCTACGGTAACTAAAGTTAGAATGAATGTCTACTTATGGCTCACTGAAGTTGCGTAATACTGAGATACCAACCAAGATTAAGCTATGTTTGAAAACACTCACTTCCTCACGAAAAGGTTTTTCAAGTAGTTCCTTTCCTAACGAATAATCTAACTGAAAGTCAACCTTATCAAGCATCAGGAAAAAAAAATCTTTCAGTTTCGCCAAAAAAGGTTCGGGCAGAATTTGAAGCGAACTTCGAAGCGTCTCGAACATGTCAGTAAATGCAGACTTTCTTTCTGTTTTTCGAGTGTATTGTTTGCGAAACGCATTTTGCAATAATCCGTGGTATACTTGTAAGCGCCCTTAATCGAGGCTTTTATACGCAATTGTCGAAGTTACGGCCTAATGTTTACAATACTGCGATTTAAATTTATATTTCTATATTTAGCGGATGCTGTTTAAATAAAAAAAAAACGAAAATAGAGATAAGGTTAAATAATAAACAGTGGCACAGTTTTTAGCCCAACGCAATATCACAGCTAAGTTAGACGTACTTGTCAAGAAATAAGGTTAGGTTTGATGAATAATATTCGATCAAACTTCAGTGGAAACTGAAATCAGCATATATATACTCAAGGTTCGCCGAACGTACAGTTTCGCAACCGCGGATTCAATTGAGCCATATTAAACAAAAGCCCCGATATTTTAACTAAGTGTCATGATTATAGAGGTTGTGCTATTGATATTTTAATTTCTTTTGTCTCCAGGGCTTATTTTTGGAACCTTGTGTAAATTTGTCACTCGATCGCTGTCGCTGTCACTATTTGATTATTTCTTTGACCTACCTGCGCCGGCTCGATTCTTATCAATATTTTCGCCTATTTTTACTGTCGTATCCCTTGAATTTAACAGCACGAGGTTTTTTTTTGCTGACTTGCATAAAGCTGAAAGAGGCATGAAATTAGGTCTGCCAATGAAAATTAATTCCATTAGTTTAGCCGCTTTTTGCCTGGCGCTGAAGAAGCTTGAAGATATAGAGTTGATAGCAAAATAAAACCAAGCTTGTCCAGACTGGAAAGTGATCAGTCTTTGAGGTCGGCAAGGTTACTCACTTTCGTTATCTTGTTTCCTTAAATTTTTTTTATCTGATTGTGAAATTGTCTTGATGTAAAACATTAATATTGGTTTGAAATTGTTCCGAGTGTCATATTCCTGAGGAAAGCTCGAAAGTATAGCCTGTTACCGAGTATATGACGTAGGTAGTGCCCTTCCGAGAGCTTACGAAAATCCACCCGGCCTTGTTCGTGAAATACGAGCTGGAGTACATACGTTCTCGTGTCAGAGCTTTCACGATTTTTGTTTCTTTATGTTGTTCTGTATTTTGAGGCACTCGGTCCCCATCCTTGCCTTCTCGTTTCATTTCTGCCTCGTAGTATTAGTAGTTCAGTCTGTTCCTTCTTGATATCCGCCTCTATGCATCTCTGTTTTGACTGGACACATGTTCCTCCATTTTTTCGTAACGTTGTAATGGGTGAAGTGAGTTCGACGCGATTAATTTTTGCGGGCTCTGTTCGTTTAATTTTTGTGATCACTTGTTAAAAGGCGAAGGCCACTTTTTTCTAAAAGGTCGGATTCGGAGTCAGATTTAGCATGATAGAAAAATGACGTCTAAGACCGTCGTACTTTAGGGATTAAAATTCGTGACATGGTAACCCTTGGGACGTCAAAATCTTAAATGACCCACCATTGGTGCAACTCTTTACGATACAAAGGTGATAAAATATAACGCACTTGTCGTTGAGAGCTGGCACTTCGAGGGTTAAAATGAATTCGAACGACTATACAGCGAGATTCTGTATCCATGGACGCCTAATGGTTTATGCCATTAACTACAAATCAAGTGGCCCGGTTCGAGCCATGGTTGGGGTTATGGGTGGTCTTCTTGGGTGCCTCTCTCCAGCAGGGTGCATAAATGGCTGCCGGCGAATGTTAACCTGTGATGAACTGGCATCCCATCCTGGGGGAGTAGAAACACTCCTAGTCGCTTCTACCTGGAGAGACCTGGATATGGTTCAGTGGCTGTGGCTCACTTAACTCGCCTAGCCCCACGCAGACTTTGACCTTACCTAATTTCCCACATCACCCCCGCATCAGAAGTTCTACATTCATGGAGAATGCCTTTTTTTCTTCATCTTCAACCTGCTGCAGATATCACCTGAACTGAGTAGTCAGTAATGGGGTAAGGGTGTTTTTTTTTAACGTCTGTCAAGTGCTATGGGCCCATCGGTCAAAGTGGAGTACACAAATCCAACATTGAAAGGAAATTTCCCTGTCCCCTCGAGGCTCTCCTCTTATACCAAACCCCGCTCAGCTCTGCGCTATGTACCCTCATTATTTAGGCATTATCGCCAGGCCGTTGATTATCAACTGCTCTTCAGGACTGAAAGAGCTAAGACTGGGTTAAAGAGATTAAGAGACGGAGCTTGCCTCGCTCTACCATGGCGCAGTAGTGGCCTTAGCACACAGTACTGAGACACTCTCTACCCTACCCTCTATGGGGGTTAAGACTATGAAACTGAAATCTGCGAAAGAGTTGCAGAGAATTCGACATGATTCGAATATTTTAGTCACTTTTTAGTGCTTTGGCATGAAGAAAATCAAAATAGATATTCATCGTTTAGCTACAGCTGTCAGCTTATCAATGATTGTGTAAGGTCAGGAGCGGATCCAGGATTTTTCTTAGGAGGGGTGCACCACTAAGGAATGGCGTAACTGACCGGTGAGGTAAACAAATTTTAGAAAGCCGCATGTCGTCTCGGAGGGGAGGGGGCGGGTGCACCCCTGCACCCTCCCCCTAGATCCGCCCCTGAATTTTTTTCTGGATCAGTATCCACACTACACTCGTTTTCTTTCAAAGTAATCTAGGATTGGAACAGAACGAAGAATCGTTCAAACGGTCCCACGATTTGCGTCAGCTGAAGTTTAATTAAAATCTTATTTTTCCCTTTAGTTCTCTACTTATTGGGATTTTTCGTTCTGCGCACTTGAGCAACGGGAAAATTTTGCCTCGATGACGTTTTTAACACGTAAAGTATACGATCATAGCTTTTTTAAAAGGATACGTTTTTATGCCTTTTAAACAAGTTTTATTTTAACGAGGAATAAAACACAAATAGCGGTGATAAACATATTAAACTTACGCATTTTAATAACTTGACGTTTCGTATGCTACG